TAATAATAATAATAATAATAATAATAATAATAATAATAATAATAATAATAATAATAATAATACGATCAGATGGGCGAGACCGCTAAGGCAGTAGTGCGGTAGCGGTCTCGGACCAGAACATCGCGGGCTCTAGTCCCGCCTCGGGCATGGTTGTGTGACTAAGTGCGTGTCTATTTCATTATACATCATTACCATCACAGTTTCACCCCATCTCCTAGGGCTAAATACCCTGAAGAAGTTGTAAAAATGGAATCAGCGTTAACATGCTGATCCCCCCAATAGAAAGTAACGTGCACCTAACCCGATATCCCAGATTGAGTCCCGGTGGGATGCACGTATCGAGTGGCCCCATTATGACTGATTCATGAAAATAATAATAATAATAATAATAATAATAATAATAATAATAATAATAATAATAATAATATGATGATGATGATGATGATGAATAGTTAAAGGCAAGAAGGAATCCCACTAAATCAAAACAATTGTCTAAATCATAGACGTGCGCTATGGGGGGGGGCAGTCATACTCTATAAAACATTTTTTTCGTAAATATTTTCAATCTCTGATTTTCCCTTTATAACCGCAGTAAATAAGGGAATTTAATGTACGACTTTTGAGGTAGAGTCTCTTGAAATCCGGCAGCGCTGTAAATAGCTCCACGTAATAAATTTATATTTATTTGTAGTAATCATTAAAGTTATAGATTAACTCACTTTAAAGTGTATTTAATTTAATGACTAATATAATACGTCAGATATTAATATAAAAAAAGTTCTTTCAAAAAGGGGGTCCAGAAATGTAGTAGGTCATGTCTTAGCCTGCGCACGTTTATGTGAAGAATTCAATGTCGGGATAGGCATAGGGATTACAAGCAAGTTAAATAACGCCCCCGTTGTAACCTTAAAGGATACATTATGTATATTAAAATAAACGAAACCCCTTAGAAATCTTAGAATGAGTTCAAGAGACAACAGAGCATTTTGAAGGATATAAGTGGAAGAAAGGAATAAATACACGAAGCAAAGCACTTTAAATCCTTAATTCGTTTGAAAATTCGAGAGCTTCCAACGTGTCTCCTCCAGCATTTTACTCTCAATATATTCATTGCTAACCCTTGCTATGTTGTTACATAACATTCGTATATCGCGGGATCAAACATGTAACAATATTTGTAATAAGTAATCATTCACAATAATTAATGAACAGTCACAAATAGGTCACACCGGTTGTTTTAAGTGGTATAGGTCTGTAAATACACATTGATGGAATCTTCATTCATAATTTCTTCCGTAATAATAAAATGACGTAAAATATGATAGACGAACGTAACTTATGAAAGTAGTATTAAATTAATTCCCGTCACAAACGTATTTATCTTTCCAATTTGGTAACATTTCATTGAATTTATGAAAATATCTACACTATCGTTCCAATATTTTCATTGCAAGGCTTTTCACTGACTACTTTTTGAAATGATTTATTTTAGACAGTTCATCAAAATTCAGTTGTTTGAAGTAGATTTCAAAGTTACTAATTTTTATTGGTGTACTGGCCTACTAGGGTAGTACAATTCCAATTTCGCGGACTTTGTGTTTCAGTTTATGACAATGTTTTCAAATTCAAATATGGCTGAAGAAGAGAGATTTTTTTTTAGTTGAAAGATTTCATTAAAATTTGCAGGAAGCATCCATGATACCATTGAAAATTAGAAACTTCATTACTTCATGTTGATTACATGAACTTTACTTGGTATGTGAATGTTTTATAAACATGCTTTCTGCCTATAACTCCTAGAGGCAATGAAAAAGTCATTGTGATATGGACAATAACTATCTCGTTTTCTAAAACAAAACCAGTGAAACTGGAATGATTTCGCTCTAGTGGTATACAAAGAATATTAAATAACATTTAACTATTTCAGAAAACAATCTCATGTAGCCATTTTTGACTACTCTGGAGAAAACTAACTCCAAGCGGTATTCCACAATATGTCTTTTAAACAAGGTCTAGAATTCTCAGTGCGAAGCAGAAGGAAATACAAAAGGGCAGAGAGAAAAACGTATTAATATGTTGAACTTCATGACCACAAGAAGATAAGCAAAAGGATGTTGACGGGTTTTGGTCGGTTAAATAAAAGTATTGTTTTGACTTCTGTTTGTCGTTCAAAATAATGTTTCTTCGCCTTGATGTGTACTATTCTTTCATTGATGTTTGAAGTAATTACGATACTATTGTAATTTTTAATGATACTCTGAGCTGTTCTGACCCAACAGCCCTGATGATGCACTACTTTCGAAAGGGTTTTTTGCAAGATAGTAAATTGTAATTTTACTTCTCCGACCAATTCCTGTCAACATCCTACAGCCAAAAACATGTTAATAGGGAAATCTAAATTACCCAAGGTAATACCTAGAATGAATGAGGTAATAAGTAGTGATAAAAGTAATCTTCAGACAGAAAGATAGGTATACATGCAAATGAAAATCATAATTGTAAAAATACATTCACAAAAACCAAAGATTTTTAAATCTGGAAATATTATCATTGAACTTGTATTTATGCATTGAAACAGCAGAATGGTCTGACTGGACTCACAAAATATATTTTTTAAATAGATATTTCTTTCTTGATTCTAAACTTAAACAAACAATACCATTTAGTAAAACGCCAAACATTATTTTGTATTTTATTTTCTTTCCTTCGAAACCTCCTAATATTTTCAACTGTTAGATGTTACAATGCTCTTTTCTCAACTATATTATACATTTCTCAGTTTCAATTTTCATTATGACACATCCTACATCAGCTTCTTAGGCTGATAACCTACCGTATCTAGCGACGCAAGTTTCCCAACATCGTAAATTCTAGGCTTTTTCTTAGAACTGTGATCGGTTTTCCGTTTGATTTACTCTACCAAATTAAAGAAAAGACTACAAAAGTAGACAAATCCTAAACTGAAGAATACAGTAATTTATAGCTCCTATCCTGTCATTGATTTTACAATGTTTTCGTTGATAAGACCATCGTAAAGAATGAAAGAATGCATGTCTGCAATTGTTCTGTCATCTCTTCACTTTGATACAGTGAAACTTATAGCTCTTTCGTCGAAATTGTTTTTTAAGCCCAAAGATACCTGCACATCATGTGCATATGTCTTGAATAGCCGCAGTAAAGTTCAATATTTAGACGAAGTCTCCAAGAAAATTGTAATCCTCGAATGGGTTTTTGGCAATTTGAAGTTAACTTCAATATCACACAGAAGAGAAGAATGGTTAAAAGAAAGCACTACAAGTAGCTACATTAGTAATGGAGTATTGACACACAGCAGATTATTATTGTACAAGCTGTTGTTGGTACGAAAAATCTGAAAATGCAATTACCCGATTCCTATTCACAGTTAAAAATTATTATGTAAATATCAGAGAGTACAGGAAGCAAATTCACAACTCTGTAAGACATCTTCATTTCATAACTTTGTACGCAAAATTTACGAAACGAAATTGACATCGCCGTGAAGCCATTCGAATGCCCGCGCAGTCACATGGACGCCTCCGTGTCATCTAAAAACAATGTGGTGGTTGCTTACCAGCTGTCACCTCCAGCAACGCAGGGCTTGCAGGCCTATTGTCCAAAACACTAAGACACTCTGCAACACACACCTTAACAAGATCTCGAGGAACGAACCGAAGACTGCGTCACAAACTCACGAACTGTTGGCGCACACTGCGGCGACGTGGGTGCGCCGAGCGAGCTGCGGCGAGTGGCGAAGACGACGTCTCGAGGCCGCCCTGCCCGCCACCGCCTGCGCTCGCTCCCACCAACTCACTCGCCGCGCGTGCCATCTGTTGAGCCAATGTAGAAGTACATCCGCGATCGGAGAAGCCAGCCGACTCCTTGGTCTCCACGAAATAGGAAATGCGCGAGCATGGTGTTTGATTGCAGTATTAATTGGTTGTATAATTTATTAGAGGTGGAAAGAACATTGAAATTAATAATACCTCAGGGAAACCAATCACTATTTTGAATTCAATATTCAAATGTATGAATTAAGAATAATTATTAGAGCTCGGATAATGCCCTATTTGCTTATTTTATTTCTCTGAATGTATTTTCAGACAACTTACTCCATTATCCATGTTCACCTAAGAATTGACTTTTGCTAGTGCTTTATAGTGCCTAAAAAACCTATATTAGAGATAATTGCCTATTCCTATTCAAGCGTTAAGAGCCTATTGGTGCCTGTTTTGATTTTTCCGCAATTATTTTGTATATTTTATATTTTGTATTATACAATAGTTTTTTGAGAAACCACTGTTGTTGTTTTTTTTTTTACCAAACTAGTAACCACCTCGTAAAATGAATGTATCAGGGCGGTCTCCGATCGAGAAGCTAGCTATATGACCTGTGTGTTCTTGCTTTAGACGCGGCGAGCAAGGACCAGGGTAGGGAAACTTGGCGGTCAAAACGGGGTAATGATTTTAGCGCCATGTACAACAGTTCCGTAGTGAGCCGAACTAAACGTTTGACGTCATGCAATTCAAAAAGCTGGCAATGGCAAGGACGCCGCTTACAATGTTTGTGAATTTGACTTAGTGCAGAAGAAGCTTATCTATTTCGCCAAAGTCGGTTAAGCCACATCCGCAGAATTACTAATGCACCGTAGTTTATTTCCAACCAATGAATTCCAACTCGAAAGAAAAGAAAATCACATCGTGCATCACTCCACACAGTTGTACCGTAAGTTTTTCTCAAATTACCGGAAAACGTCCTGTCCGATTTGGCAGAAATCCTACTCATATTACCCGTACTAAAAATAGATTTCCCTTCCTTACAAGGTTTTCCGAAATGTAACTCCCCTGAGGTTTCCCTGTAAAGGATACCTCCCGCAAAAATGTGATTTTTACAATTACGTTATTGATATTAAGTTTATACAATAGAAACGTAGAGTGTGAACTGAACTTAATAAAATCTGAAAATGTTTATAATAAAAATGGCGCTCTAGAGAACAGGAAATTGCTCTCTTCGCTATCATTAGTGAGCTAGTATCTGTACCTTACCAAGAACACAACTCTTCAAAATTAGCACTCCTGGCGTCTTTCGCTTTCATAGAAATAGATTTATCCATGATGGGCGAAGTTTCCTTCGATAATAATTTAATATTGGTGTCGAAGCCAGGTACATGGCAGATCAGAACGTTTGCTGTTCCTGTTAAGCACGCTTACTGCAATTCCAAAAGTATCAAGAAGTGCCTTACAAAAAGAGTGGATTCGTGGAGAAGGTTTTACGACAGACCGAAATGTAATTTTTTTACAGTGTTTTGAATAAATGATAAGCTGTGCCAAAAATATATCTTGCAACCTAAAACAATGCAACTCATGCAAAAATGCGGACTTGTGCCGACCCTGATTGGCGCGAATTTTCCTACTTTAAAACTTGAAAATCCAACTTGAAGTGTACCCATTTATTGACAAAATATTAATTTCCACACTAGTCGACTCTCAGGAAATATCTAACTCCGTAATATATATTTGCAATCGAATAAATCCAGTTTCTAGAGAATTGAATCCATCCTCAATGTTATTACGTCTAAATTTGAATATTGTCGAATTTTTGAGCCTATCAATTATTATGCCTGTCGGTTTTTTAAGTTTAGTTCCTCTTTGCCTGCCTATTTTCGACTATTTTAGTGCCTGTATTTCCGAGCTCTAATAATTACTGGTAAATTTCAAAGAAAAAATGTATTATAACAATCATACGAAATTTTGACGACTGGCAATTGGCCAGGAACAGAAGAAACCAAATCGAACTTGAGCAGAGATTCACCAAAAGGGGAAATTTCAGTATTTTATGCTTAATTAAATACCTATCCGCGCGAACCCTACGTGCATGGGCTACGCCGGGGGGAACGCGCTCCTCCCCTAATAGTTTTTGGTGAATGCGCAGAGGAACGACTAATAACTTTTCTCTGTGCTATGGGATATATTGGAGGGTACTCCCTGGTATTCTCTACCTTTTCCACCGAATTTCCATTTTCCACCCTCAACAAACTCTCGCGTGTTAATCTGGAAAATAACTGAATTATCTATTTCTAGTCTATAAATAAAAACAAATGAGCGTATGTGTGTCGCACATAGATGCAAACACTACTCGATCGATATTGCTGACATTTCCACACGTTGATCTTATCAGTGAAGGGAGTGTTTAAAGTGGTTTGAATTAAATCGGACATGTGAGGGCGTTGTTGATAATTTCTTAGTTTATGACGACTCAAGCGTCCTCGAGCTCTTCGCAACCCGCCAGGTCAATGAATCAAACCAAATTTGTACCAGAATTTATTACTAATTTCTTACCGCAAAACCAATTTTTTAACGCTCATCTTCACCCTAAAAAAGGAGATGGGTGGCTAGCATGATATCAAGCTGGCCTGCCCACCATAGCAGAACCAAACCAAACTAGTGACAGAATTTTTAACCTTCACCCCCCCCCCACACACACACACACACAAACAAAAAACGGGAGGCGGACAGATTACACAGGCACGCAAAAAAATATAATATTAATTGCATAAATGGTTATTTAAAGTGTGGTAAGTGAAACGGGACCAATGGCTTAAGTCCACAATAAATGAGAGTTCACTATATCCTAGTTCATTACTACCGGAGTTGACTTTTGAATTTTACTATTTGACTACTTGAGAATTTTAAATACTACACAAATTTGACAGGCTGTGGGGTTGTTGTGGAAAAGAAAAGTTTCCAGGATTCAAAATCCATATTTTAAAAAACGGTTGTTCAACAGTTATCATAAAGATTGGAGCAGTTGACTGATTATAGTTCTTGTCAGAAAAGCCACGACTGTAAATACTGCTATGAAGTCTGAAAGTCAGATACTGATATCTTCCTAACAGTGCTAGTAGCTTAACAAGGCATTTTTTTCTAGGCATTGGGGGCAAGTCTCATTAATCAAAATCATTTAAATATGACCCAGAACATATCCTTTTCCTTGGTGCTTTTAGTAGATGTGACACATTCACACACTCTAGGCAGTAGAAGGATATATTTTGCAGTACTTGAGATTTTTAGTGTAAGCAACTGCTGGGAGCAATTAATATTAAGTACCGATATTGTTTTGGAATCAATGCAGATAATTTACTATTACTCCAGGAACAAAATATCAATAACGTCATATTTTGTAATGCCTTATAATATTAGAAAAAGTAATTGGTGAACTATCTGAACATTGTTTCCAGCATAATAAATATCTGGAAATAAGTTGAAATCAAAATGAATAAAAGTGTCTACAGGCAGGTCAGGAAAAAATAAAAACAAAATAATACCAATGATACATTTATTTAAAATTTCTTCTCAAATTAACAGTAAAATTCCACATACTTTTGTAATCAATACTCTTAAAATGTGCAAAGTTCTATCTTCATGAATGCATTCAGTAATTTTCCTGATACATACATAGAAAGAAAAAAAAATCATTGCAAGCACAAAATTCTGAAGTATTTCAGTTCAACAAGTTTCTTAATTATTATGCTAAACAGAATACCCTTGTTAAAAAATTAAATCTATCAGTCTTGGCTATTGAAGTAAAATTATCTTTGCTCGAAGCTATTTATAACTTTTATTTACAATGAAGTAATGACCCAGTGACAATCTCATAATTTTGAGCCTGTTGAAGTTGTTCACTGGGAAAAACTGCATAGATTATTTCCATGCAGTCAAAATACTATTACATGAACATACAATAAACATGAGATGAGATATGAATTTAAAATATGTTTTGATCCATAAAAGTAATTATGAAGCAGTTCTGAAAATTAAAGAGGTATTTTTTGCAAACTCTCCTTTTCCAAAAATAAAGGTTAAAGAAATTTTAAAAAACACAAATACACATTAAAAAAATTTTCTTCAACTTTTGTAATGTCTTATAGTTAGCAAATATTGTATACCAGCCTTATCAAGGGCAGAGAAAAATAATTAATACTTGCGTAATTTAACCAGTAGCAAATCACATTCACAATTACATGAATTAATATATTCAAGTACCTGAGCACACTTTTTACTTAATCTCATTCTATGAATGTGGTCCTAGGTTTGATTGCCAGAAGGCTTTGTTGTTTCAGATGATGAAGCAGGCTTATGACAACAATCAAAGAGTTCTGAATTTAATGGAACCAAAAATTATCAAAAACCATAAGTAGCCTGACAAAAAGTAATCCCATACTCTTTCAGGAGTAAGTAAGTGTCCTGTGAGAGAACAGTAAAGAAATAATCCCAAATTATGAATTAATTTGAAGTTAAAAATATGCAAAGTTTTAGGAAAATGTCTCACTATTTGTTGGAAAAAGATAAATGAATACCATTACAAATTATTCCCTCTTTTTAAGGAATTTAAGTAAATTTTAAAGGAGGTAAACATCTTCACCAAGCATGTATAATGCAAATAAAAAACAGCATTTGAAAAAGGATCAGATTCTGCATAAAATTAATTTTAATAAGCAATCATGCTTTATGGCAACCTTGTCACCAAGCAAAAGTCCACTTTTATTATTGTTCTTTGATTGAAATGCCGACAGTAATGATGTTTGGAACAATAAGCAAGTTTAACAATTTCATTCACGATCATCTAGCAATAACAACTTAATTATTCCAAATATTCCTATAAAGACTACTAGTCTGATACATTGGAATATAATAGAAATTCTGTCTTCTACAGTTCAAAAGACTACAATCTTGAATTTCAACCCAAAAAATCTTTCCAGTCCTCTTCCTATCTTGTGGAAATTTATTTTCATTTAAATTAATAAACTGAATAAAAATCAATAAATATTCTA